AGATGGAGAATGTGAGAAAGTATTGTTGAGGCTACCTTGTGATACTTGTTTTAAAGCAGCCATGTTGTGTGTCTTAGTTGGCATGAATTATAGGTTTCTTTTAAGTCATCTGTTGCTCTTACAAAATATGTGAAAAGCGCAAGAAATTAAAACTTTTTCATATCTGATACAGCCTAATTGTTACTGACCTATTACATATTTACTGTATTTATTAAGGTGGGCATGCAAATACACCAGGTGAAAATTAAAGGCACTGGTAAAATGCACTTTTCTGCTAAATCATCCCACCACAACTAATAATAGGGAAATGTTCCTCTCTCTAATACAAAATATGGGGCATTATTCCTCCTCCCACTAACCACTGGTGCTAGGTCATTTCTTTCTACCACTGACCACCAACATGCAGCGTTCTTTACTTCCACTGACCACCAACCCTGCGGCATCCTTTACTCCTACTGACCACCAACCCTGCTGTGTTGTTTACTTCCACTGACCACCAACTCTGCGGCATTCTTTACTCTCACTGACCACCAACTCTATGGTATTCTTTATTCCCACTGACCACCAACCCTGCGGCATTCTTTACTCCTACTGACCACCAACCCTGCTGTGTTGTTTGTTTCCACTGATCACCAACTCTGCGGCATTCTTTACTCTCACTGACCACCAACTCTATGGCATTCTTTATTCCCACTGACCACCAACTCTGTGGCATTCTTTACTCCCACTGACCACCAACCTGGCAGCGTTTTTTATTTCCACTGATCACCAACTCTGTGGCATTCTTTACTCCCGCTGACCACCAACCCTGCAGTGTTCTTTTTTCCCACTGATTCTGGGGCGTTGTTTACTCCCACTAACACCAAAAAAAATTCTAAACCCACTGGCCATAGTCTGGCCTCCCTGAAGGACAAAGAACTGGCCTATTGTTTATAAAGTTTGAGGACCCCTGCCATATTGTCTTTCAACCACCCCAGGCCAAGTTTTAAAAGCCTGAGGCCTGGAAATGTTTTGTTTACCTGTCAAAGATAAGGCTCCTATACAAAACTGGCTACTCGCATTGCCCAACCCCTGAAAGAGATGCCAATTTCAAGGCAAAACACATTCATGCAGCATTACACACAAAGATATCCCTGCCTTGGGACTAGTACTACTAACAGTCAGATAATGACAACCATCAGCACAGGAAGTATACCTTGCCTGTAATAGATCACATCCAGTGCGACAGATCACAGCCAGCGTGACAAAGTATCATAAGTTTTGTTCTGACGGGCTGCAGTCTGTGTGGTGGATCGCTTTTCAGAGAGCGGTGGAGAAGCGGCTGCTCTGCATTCAGAAGGCAATACTGCTGCCTCCTAAATGCAGTTTTTTTTTTATCCCAATGGAAATTTCTGTTGAAGTATGGGATTTTCTGTTAAAGTATCCCATTAATTTCCTGCCTGTCAAATGCAACATGCTGTATACTCTTTGCCATGCCGCGGCCCAAAGCATAGGTGTGGCAATATATAAGAGGGGCTGTAGTGCTGACATTGCATCGGGCAGCACAACTGTACATCAACCGCATGGTTTTACCGCTGCTCACACCTGTGTGAACAAGGCCTATCTGTTTCAAAATGCAACAATTAATAACAAACAATTCTAATACACATTCCATTAGTAAAATACACGTTTCCACACCTGGGCGTTTTATAGCGCGTTCCTACGCAATGTAAAACGCTCAACATGTGAAAACCAATAATTGCCTATGGGCATGGTTCCCACCTGGGCGTTTTACAGCGTCATGAATGAAGCTTGTATAAAAAGCTGCACCGCTGGCCCGCTTCTCCTCTGCCCCCTCTACCATTCATAAAGCTCATATTAAGATTATCCCGCAATGCATGGAGTTCTTTGAATAAGGGAAGAGCAGATGAATGACAGAATCTCCACTGTCCATTTGTAGAACTCATTCCATTGTGTTATAATAGTAATATTGTGAATGTTGGAGAGAGCAGGGGGGAGGCAGGCCAGTGGGAAAACCTTTCAGACTAGCTGCTCACAGACTACACTCACTGGAGGCTCTCACAGCGTCATTGAGCATAATATCCAGAGGCTGTGAAGGGGTGTAAAGTGAAGATTTTTACAAGGAGCAGCTACAGGTAAGAGGATACACACCATTACATATATCTAATGTATTTGGTGCTTAAGCTTGTAATTTCTGGCCCCCATCTCTAATCAGTACCGTAAGGGTCTGTATATCATATTGACTGATTGGAAGTATAAAGCCTACTGTATGGTGCCTAAAGTGGTGTATTAACCCAAAGCTACACTAATTTCGTTTTATGAGTATACTGCTTAACATCACTGTGCAACGGAAAGAATTATGCCCTTTTGCTAATGGCCCAGTGGCTCTTTATCTTTAAAGGCCAAGATAGAAGTTCACAACCTCATCTGCAACCCAGTAGATGAAAATAAGACACTCTAATGCCAGTGGGCAATATAGAAGGCTTTCTGCAATCTCATGGCTCAGCAGGGTTCCTCTGATGCCTGGTAGTAACATTCTCCCCCTGCTGGATTCTCCATGGCAATATTGTTGAGACTCTTATGGTCTTACTAAGCAGTCAGCCCTTAAATGCACAGTGGAACTCCTTTTTGTTCTTGCCTCAACTGGAGGTTCTTCGGTGAACATTTGATACCATCATTGATATCATCAGTGTTGGCTCAGCATTGTATACTAGCCAAATTCAACTGGAAATTTGGTTCACATTACATGGAAATAAAGGTTTTCATCCATTTCCTTAAAAAAAGAAAGACCATAATGGGGAAATAAGGACTACAAGTTTGGGCTAAATTAATAGATTTAGTTAAGTGGTAATTTTAATCTCAGTTAAAATAAAAATCAATGTTTGGAACTGGTACTTGACCCCAATGGTACTAGAAAAATTACCTTACTTATTGCATTTAGATGCCATTAACTTTCCCTTATGTGGGACCTTTGCAAAGGAGCAGCAGTCTCTAATATACAGCTTAGAAGAATGTTCTAGATATCCTTAAATTAGACAATATGTGTCATAACATATAGCCTGCTCTTTCATTGCACAATTGCTCCTGTGACAGACATATATGAGGTGTAGCATTATACTTCAAAGGTATCTGCACTACACCACTCCTCATCCAAGCGTTTTTAATAGTGGAGCTATCTTCCTGAGCATGTTTGACTGGTTGACATTTCATGTCCAGAAATGGCAGTATGAAGCCCATCAGCTTTAAGCTCCACCCCTTTTGGGCACGCTACTTGTTATATAGTCACAATTTACTTATTAGAGGCGTTGTCACATAATGATTTCTCTTTTTAACAACACACACAAAAAAAAGTACGTAGTTCACTGAAACAATTAAATATATAACTGAGCATACCTAGAAAATTCAAAATTAAAGTGCAGATTACGATTTCCAATAATTTGGTCTACTACCCAAGGTACATTTCTATATTTGCAGCCAGATTAAAATGCCAGCTGTAACTCTCTTTGCCATATTTTATCTCTGCTCGGTAAAAGAATTACTCACACACTTTACGTATAGGCAGAATATGTAGCAATAAACTCTCTTTGGATTAGTGTTTTTACAGCACACACACTATTTGATAGCACAACAGATAACCTTGAAAAATGAGCTATATTTACTAAAAGCCACTATACAAAGCCATATCACGCCTTCTAATAATTTCTCTCAAGTGCTTAATCATTTCATGGGCTCTAGGTTCCACTTGTGATGCCAATTGAATGGATAATTACTATTAGGTGCACTAATTGCCTCAATGAAAAGGCTAGCTGCATGTTTACACTTAACTTGGCAGTAGGAATTGTTATTCTACTAACGTGGCATGGAACACACAGTGAAAGAAGGTGACCTGCAAAACTGCTACGTGCTCGGAGGACAGAAGGAAAATATCACACAGTACAAAGAGACGAAGAGAGACACGATGAAACATCAATAATTACATAAATGGCCCTTTTAAATGCGGGAAGGTCAGCAGTATGCGACCATCTAGTTAAGGGTTAACTCTTCAGAACTGCCGCAGGTGTGATTTGGGATAAAAACATATTTTTCGAGAAAACCATTCCTATCTTAAGCAGCAAGACACATCTACAAACAGTCATCCTGGAATAATCATTGCGGTACCCCATACAGATGATATGCAAAAATGCACATGGTCATTTGACAGCACGGTGAAAAGATGCTGGATGATCCCAACAGGGGGACTGAGCCATTGTTATGAGGTGGGAAGGAGTACCGAGCACAAAGTAACACACGGCCAATTCTCTCTGTGTATTGACTTTAGAGACACAAGCAGCATCTCTCAAACAATGATCTGCATCTACTACAGAGGGCGTGAATGACAAACATGCCAAAGCAGATTTCGGAATGACTGATGGGCCCATTATTAAAACAAGGCAATAGCTAATAGTCGGTCAATACAACATCGGGACCTAATTATGCAAAGTAGCGAATTATTTTATAAACAAGATGAAGCCTTGCTTTGAAGGGTTTCCTTTTTATATTCTAAAATCAAATGATAGTAATTGGCAAGAAGTATTAAATACAAATGATATTTATATTGGATTCTATTAATAATTAATCCCCATTAGCTTAGCAGAAAATGCTTTAATAGATCAGTGCTATGTAGATTAATTACAGAGCTTTAACTATCTGTTATTGTCTGCTCTGCAGAATACACCATAATAATTGATACCGTGTCTTATAGTGGGTATCAGTGGCAGATAAGAAGCGAGAACACTGTAATACACACTAGATCTAGATCCAACTGTGTGCCTGCAGGATGCATCCAGCTTGCCTAGGGAAGTGACAATTAATTGCTGCCATGCTGAATCCAAGTTTGAAGTTACTCCAGTGTTTTCTAGGTATAAGGACAGGGGGTAAGTAGGAAAAAAAATCAGCATGTCAATAAAGGTCTGCTGGCAAAGAATTAGTGAAAGTTGGTTAGTCCAGGACAATGGCTTTACCTTGATCCGCACATAGCAGTGTGTGCCTAGGAAAGGGTCGTTCAGGCAGCTCGGGGTGACCTCTCTGGGGATCTTCTTAAAGGTCCTCCTCGGCCTGATTAAAATACTGCAGAAAAGTTTGATGAACGCAGTGCAAGCGCAGAGCAGACAATAGGAGTACACCAAGGTCCAGAAAGCTGCAGCACGCAGGCAGCCCGGCAGGCTGTCCACAAACAGCGCCATGCTGTGCCCAGGCATCCAGCTTAGAGAGGACACCCTCAAGTGGCAAAGAGAGCTGTGCGAGAAGTCATGGAAACAAGGGGAAGAAAAGAGAGAGGAGGAGGGGATGAGGGAGAGCGAGGGAGTGACTACAGCTCGGTGCTGAGACTGATGCTGCTGCCTCATAAAGGGAACAAATGAAAAGAAGAGGCAGCCTTGACTGCATGTGCTAATTCCAGCGTAACTCTTTTACATCGACATGACCTGAATGCACAAACATGTACCGTCTTGGTATATAAATAGCAAAAATTGATTTGATTTATTTTTCTTTTTTTTTTAAATCTGAATTGCGGGATAAGCAAATATTGTATAAATAAATAGCTCCAGTAGCTTATTTGAAAAGCAAAGGTGACATTAGGGGCCTAATTGAAAAAAACTATTATTCCACCTTCACATCGAAGTGTCACCTTCAAATCAAGATTTCCCCCCTCACATCAGAGTTACGCTTTGCATCAGTAGCACTTCACATCACATCAGTAGCCCCCCTTCACATCAGAAGCTCCCCTACACATCAGAAGCCACCCTTCACATCACAAGCCACTCTTTCATAACAGAGTTCCCCTTTTTCATCAAGAGCCCCCTTCACCTTAGTCTACATTGCCCCTTTACATCATAGTCCCACTACCACAACATGTTGAGGCACTCTTGAGAAGGCCAGGAGGCACCCTGGATGAGAAACTTTGGTATAAAGTATATAATATTGTTTTATGTTTTATTTTATACCCTAATTATAGGTGTGACATGAAACATGATCTGAAAGGTGAACTTAGCCTATGTTTGTTTGATCTGGATTTATTATTGAAAAAATGTTTGAGAGTTTACTTCTACTTTAAGCAGAAAAACCATACATGCTGAGCAATGTAGAGCTGTACTGTAGGAATCTGCTGCTGCACAGCCAGTCCCATGCCGCCATCTTCATTTCTGACATCAGGGTCATGGCTGTTTCTTCTGGGTCCTTGCAGCTGGTCCCCTTATGGAGCCCATGCATCACAGTTTGTCTTCAGGGGGCTGGCTGCAAGAACCAGATAAACACAGCCGTCCCCCTGATGATGCGTCATAGGGAACCCCAAGGCCACCTGCAATGCGTGAGGTGGGTATCCCAGGAGGCTCTCGGCCATGCATACATTATTATCACCTATTCATGAATCCAGGAAGGGTGCGGAGGCTTCCCTGAAATATGTATTTAAAGATTAATAAATAAAATATGGCAGATTGTTAGAGAGGAGGGGGGTTGGAGCGGAATGATATAATGTGGGTGGGGAGGGCGAAGATCCACTTTAAAGTAGGAGGAAAGGCTACATAATAAACCAACATCGTAAATACCATGTTTTCAAAGTTGTTCTATGTGGTCCGTTGCCTTCTGGTTTGGCTGGTGGGCATAAACTATCTACCCGCTGAAACCGGCTTAAGGCAATAGACACTGGTGGGTGATGTCACTGCCTTATGGAATTCTTCCCCATTGTCAGCTCTATGTGCTTGCTCACATACATAGGTTTGGCTGCTGTTATGTATGTAGAGGCTTCTGGGAAGTGCTTCAGACAAAATGCAAGAGCTTTAGCAGAGAAGGCATACCTCACCAATGGCTGAAACTCCAAATATTTTTATTTTTTCATTATAGTATTGTTGAACTAAACAAGCCCCTGCATTTTAGGGGTTCTAAGGCACCCTTTTCATCAGTGGTACATCTATACAAGCAATGTATATGTACAATTAATAACAGAACATATAGATGAGCATTATATGTCCGTGACAAGACAAGGTTAATTACCAACTCACATTTAATGACCTTGTGACCTATATTTGTACATTTATAGACATATGTTGTGTAACGGTATCAGCCAAATGAGTGGAGTGGATCTCTTGCTGGCACAGACTTCACACTGGCACTGCTGCTGCTGGCTTCGGTCAGGAGGTTCTGGTGGCTGTAGATAGGGCCATCCCACTGCATGGACAGCTTCTCCAAATGGACTGTAACAGAGTCCTCTCCAGTGACTGGGGCTTGGACAGATGCTGCATGCTCTTGTGCTCACTGCTGGTGGCCCGCACACCAGACTTAACAGGGGAGGACCTGACACCTGGGGACAGCTCACTTGCCCAGTCACTGATGTCCCATCAGGCGCGGTCTCTCTGAGCACAAGCTGGGAGGAGCACGCATTTATATCCCCCGGGCGTGTCCAGGAGCTCAGGGGAAGCTGGGAGCCCAGAGGATTGTGGGAAGTTAAGTTAAAGGGACCTGCACCTGAATATGCACCTCTATAGGTTGGACTCGATGGACTTGTCTTTTTTCAAACCGACTAACTATGTAACTATGAATAAAGGTGCACTCCTGTACACATATACATGTTAATTCTGTGTCTTACACCATTTTAGCATTTTGTTTTTTTAATTTCATTTATAATAAGACTAAAAACATTATAAGTATAATAATACTGTTAGACTGTTAGAAAAAGGTTGTTTATCTTAAAGTGGGACTCCACTTTTTTTTTCCTTCCAGTGTTTTCTTCAATT